CCCACCGCCGGCACCCCTCGCCCGTTCAGCATCCCCTCCCATCTTGCGCTTATCCCAGTGGGCCTGGGATCAGGGGGCCTCCCCAGAATGGGCCCTCATCCTGCCTCCTCGCCTTTTTCTGAGGCCAGGGTACAGAAGGAATGTTCCAGAAGCAGCAGCAGTGGGGGCAGTGACCACGTTCCGCTACCCCACCCTGGTTTCCCATGGAAACCTCAGGCTGACTAGTAGCTGCAGCCTTTGTCCTTGGGCTAGTGACAGTAACTGGTGAGGGTGTTTCTCTTCCCCCTTTCCCCCAAAGCCCGTTGGCCGTTCCCCTGAGAGACTTCTCCGTCAGTGGGCCGGCTTGCCCCTCCTTGTGTACGTGGCCTAGCAGGCTTAGAGTCAGGGGCTCCTGCCGTTGGAAGAAAGCAGCCAGGGTGGGGCCTGCAATTTCAAGGACTGCGCTAATAAGCCTTTCTTGGCTTCCCTTCGGGTGCCCTTCGAAGACTAGCTGGGTCTCCTGCGAGGCTTATTGTGTCTCGTCGGCTGTTCGGTGCGGCTCTACGTAGGTAGATGACTTCCTTGGCGTGTTGGTGCTCAGAGATGCTCTGCCTCCTTCAGCGCCGCCTTTATTTCACCCCCCTCGTTCACCTCTTTGCTCGGCAAGGTTACAGAGGAGACTGTGGTCAGATGAAGCCATCATCCCAATTTTAGGCGAAGCCACCAGCCGGGGCGGAAGGAGCTGTCCGCCGGGGCAGGTTTTCAGTGGGGAACACATCAGGGCTGTGGTAGGAACGTGGCAGGTGGGAGTGCATTGCTGTCCCCCCCCAGGAATGCATCCTATCAGGCATCATGTCTGTGAATGGGAAGAAGGTGCTGCACATGGACCGGAACCCCTACTATGGGGGCGAGAGCTCTTCCATCACCCCCCTGGAGGAGGTGAGGCTGCGCGGCCCAGCCCTGTCGATCTCTTGCCTGGGGCCTAGGGTTGAAGCGGACCCAGGTCCCTGGGGTAGGAGGGGAGGGGGGGGAGGGAGGGGTAGGTCTTGAGGTATCTCTTTCTCTCTCTTCTGCCTACAGCTGTATAAGCGTTTTCAGTTGGTGGAGGGGCCCCCTGAGTCAATGGGTCGAGGCCGGGACTGGAACGTTGACCTGATCCCCAAATTCCTCATGGCCAACGGTGAGGGAGATGAAGGAGGCCTTGCGAGTGGGGGTGACTGGGAAGACCGAGGGGCGGCTGGGCTCCAGGGACAGCGCAGCTGGAGCTTCTGGAGAGCCATGCCGATGTTGCCCACCCCCCCACAGGGCAGCTTGTGAAGATGCTGCTGTACACAGAGGTGACTCGCTACCTGGACTTCAAGGTGGTGGAGGGCAGCTTTGTCTACAAGGGGGGCAAGATCTACAAAGTGCCATCCACTGAGACCGAGGCCTTGGCTTCCAGTAAGTGTGGGTCCCCTGAGCCAGGGACTCATGGGTCGGGGGAGACACACTGTCCTCGGGACTAGTGGCTGTCCGGAGTCGGGACAGTTGCATTCCCCACACAACACCAGAGGGCCCTTGCTCTGTGTTCCATTGCCCCATGCCATGCCTCGTGGCAGGTTGCTGGGAGGGAAGTCCACACGCAGAGGGGTGTAGCCAGGGGCTTCTTTTTGGAAGACTTCAGCCTTTTTCAGGGACTCCACCGGACCCTTAAGACAGCCCCAAGGGTCGGAGACCATCTAGCCCAATCCCTCTTCATATGGTGGGGAAACAGACCGGGAAGCATAGAGGGGCTAACCCTTGGGCCCGGAACAGCTCAGCTGGGAGCTAGGGCTCTTGCTGCCTTGGCCTGTCCTGCTGGGAAGGAGAGTTTTGTGTTCCACTGGTGCGGAGGGTCTCGTCACACCGCCTTCCTCAGATCTGATGGGCATGTTTGAGAAACGGCGCTTCCGCAAGTTCCTGGTGTTTGTGGCAAACTTTGATGAGAATGACCCCAAGACCTTTGAGGGTGTCGACCCCCAGACTACCAGCATGCGCGATGTCTACCGGAAGTTTGACCTGGGGCAGGATGTCATCGATTTCACTGGCCACGCCCTGGCACTCTACCGCACTGATGAGTGAGGGGAAGCTGGTGTGGGGCGGTCCCTCGCCTGGCCCGCCCCCTGCCCTCCCACCCCTGCCTGTGGCCCCTCCCTGCCCCTTTCCTGTGTGTCTCGGGCTTAGCCACAGGCTCACCTATCGCCTTTTCTGTTCCACCCTTGCATCTGACCCATGTCTGTCCCAGGCTGTTCAGGAGGGTGGGAGGCTGGCCTGGTGCCTGGGTGGAGGTGAGGCAGGAGAACTGCTGTTGGAGCATCTTCCCTGACCCCCGTCCCCCAGCTACCTGGACCAGCCCTGTCTTGAGACCATCAACCGCATCAAGTTATACAGCGAGTCCCTGGCCCGGTATGGCAAGAGTCCGTATTTGTACCCACTCTACGGTCTGGGCGAGCTGCCCCAGGGCTTTGCAAGGTGAGGACATGGCTTTTTCAGTTGGCACCGCTGAGTGGGACTCCGACCAAGCATGGAAATGGCCCCTTGAGCTTTTCCCTAGCGCTGCATCCTTTCCAGTCTGTGACCTCCATTTATTAACTCCATGCTCGGTGATGGAGCATGGCCCCTGCTCATTGCAGTGCGGAGTTGAGAACCAGATTTCCACAAACGTGGCTTGCTTGGCTTCCGGCAGCACCAGGCCAGGGCCCCAGAACTCCACGTCAGGGCTTGGCAGGGAGCTGACCCTTCTCCAGAAGGCCCCTCATTCTGCTCCCAGGCTATTCTGATGTGGCACTGTTCTTTCACGCCACCTCATCTAGCCCTTGGCAGCACGTCCTGGGCAGAAGCTCCCAAGAGGAAGGAGCATGCCCAGATTGGGCCAGAGCTCATGGCTGTGACGGGAGCTGGGATGAACTGCCAGGGCTCCTGGCTTCTGCCTGCTGGGGAAGCCTTCCCTACCTTGGTGGAGTGGGGTGGGGTGCAGCGGACTTGCTCCCTGTTTCTTCTGGGAGGGGCCTTCACAATCAGCCTCCTTACTGCAGATTGAGTGCCATCTACGGGGGGACGTACATGCTGAATAAACCTGTGGATGACATCATCATGGAGAACGGCAAGGTGGTGGGCGTGAAGTCGGAGGGAGAGGTGAGCCCTCCCCGCACAGTGCAGTCCCTGTGGCTGGGTGGGGCTTGGCCACCTTCTCAGGGGCTCAGGCTCTGCTTCCGGGTCTGCGGCTGCTGAGCCCTGAGGGCCTTGGGACTGGGACCTGCGGGTCCAGAAGGTCCACAGCCATGACTTGGCAAGAAATGTTTCTCAGAGGCTACCTGCTACGTCTGATCCAGAAAGCATTCTTGGTCACAGTGCCCTAGTGGGAGGCACCCGGTCCTGTATGTCAGGGCCCACCTCCCTGAGCTGGAGGGTGAGGTGCTACAGGAGGGATAGTGGTGACAGCTCAGAGGAGCACCCTGTCTGCCAGAGCTGCCTGTCTCACTGGGCACAGCCCCACAGCTACCCAGGAGAGTGATGTCACAGGCAAGGCCTTCTGGTACCTTCTCAGGTGGCCCGCTGCAAGCAGCTGATCTGTGACCCCAGCTACATCCCGGACCGCGTGCGGAAGGCTGGCCAAGTGATCCGCATCATCTGTATCCTCAGCCACCCCATCAGGAACACCAACGATGCCAACTCCTGCCAGATCATCATCCCCCAGAACCAGGTCAACCGGAAGTCAGGTAGCTGGGCCGCGGCAGGCCTTCCTCCAATGTGTTCTCCTTGGGGCTGCTTTTGCTACTCACCGTGAGCCTCGGGGCTCCCTGGCCAGACTTTCCATTGGCAAAACTGAATCCGCATTGCAGTCACCTCGACCTGGGGCCCTAGGGCTCGGGTGGCGTGGACTCTTCCCTCTCTGAGGGTGGCGACCTGGGTGCTGCATGCCGTGC